CATATACTAAAGCAAACAACCACTACACCATCGTCCATAGAAGTTAACCTAGTCTTAGAATTAGATTAAAGTTGTAACTTCTTATTTTGACATGGACTTCAGATTATGGCATGACAAGAAAAAATAAAAACATTTGAAACACAGTGAGCTACAGAAATGAGACTCACTGCATTTGGACAAAGAGCACCTCTTAGTGCGTTCTCACACCACTCACTAGCAACAGGAATGCTTCAGCGAGGGACAAAGGGTCAAATCACAGCATTTCGGCAGGTGGCATTTGACTTCCCTTCAGTTCTCAGCGAGGATAGCATTACAGGTTTATTTTACCAGTTAGTGGAGAGACGAGGTAGGAGACCTGAAGAAGTTCTAGAAGTGGGCACTGGAGGGAGCTTGCCATTGACAGGATGGTGGGGGGGGATAGGGAAGGAGAGCAGGAGGCAGGCACGGGAGAGAGGGCTTTTCTCAGATACTGACACGCTGAAGGAACAGCCACACTGATGCAGCACACTGGGCTACAGAGAAAACCAGTCAGCCACGGAAGCCACGCACCTTTGAAGAACGGTTTCCCATTCGTAATCTCTTTTGTCGCAAACCCGGGTCCTCGGGGACAGAGCTCCTCATACTCTGGGGTGTTTCTCACCGGACACTCCTCACACTCTTGGGTTCCCCAGCCTGCTCCAACTGAACAGCAGCAGGCATCCATCCGGTGACGGCCAGCGATGGGCAGGGTGCACTCCTCATCATCATACCTCAGGTAGCAGGTCTCCAGGCGGATGTCTGTCAGAGGGGGCGGGAGACTGAGGACAGCTGTCCTTCACGGTCCAAAACTACCAACTTTTGTCAGGGAAAATACAACACATGCTAATTTTCTATATCCATGACTACACTTTTTTTTTTTTTCTCTCCAGGTTGCTCTCATTTGTAACTGACCAAAATTCCTCAACTGTACAGCGTGTCTTTTATGCACATAAAGTGGTCTTCACTAGGGATATTCTTCCGAGTGATACAGCGTCAGGTATGTACTACAAGTGATGTCATCTCCAGGGTCAAAGAAACCAGAGAGCTTCTGGACATCGTCCTGGCAGTGAGACGCCATGGTAGTGACACTAGGAGCCAGGCAGGTACCACAGCTAAGAGGCATGGGGCCGCCTTCGGAAGACTGCAAGTCTAGATTCTACGTCTAATCTCTTCCATGTCACTGGGATGGGATGACTGGATGTGAAGTACCCCCTGGACTCTAGCAGTTGGCATGGAGATTCCCAGACAACCAGTAGAGATAGTGCTGTGCCCTCCCTCCCTCCCTCCCTCCCTCCCTCTCCTGGGAAGATTTCTGCTCCTGACATCAATAGGGATTTCCTATAAGGACCTATCTGATCAGTTATAGCACAGGCCTAGAAGAAATGGGGTGCAGCACCCCATTAAGTGCAAATGTTCTTCTCTGTACCACTCAGCATGCATGCATTCTACAGCTCATGGCATATGGGCAGCGCTGCCATAGCAACTGTGGTGGCAGTGATTCAAAGAATGGAGAGAACAGCAAGGAAAGACTAAAGCCTTTCTTTCATGCTTCCTCACTCTCGGTTAGGAAGTCCGTTTGTCAAGAAAGCCATCATAGAGGTTAACAGATGAGCTAGATGTGTGTGTGTGTGTGTGTGTGTGTGTGTGTGTGTGTGTGTGTGTGTGAACGTCCATGCGCATGCGCTGCATCTTATTCATCCTTACCAAGGCAGATTCTTCCTGTGGCATCCAAAGTCATTCCATTGGGACACTCGCACTTGAATGACCCCCTGGAGTTGACACATAGGCCATTTTTGCATACTCCTGGGAACACTTCACATTCATTGATATCTAAAGAAGAATAAAAAAAAAGAGCATTAAGTCAATATATTTGTGTAGTTAATCCTGGCTTACCCCACTCATAGATTCACAATGATTATCACAAAAGAAGGGGCCTTTTGAACCTGAAAAGTTCAGAACACTAGCTTGCGTCCCAACAGTTTGTGCGAACTTCTGATGTGTCTAAATAGCAACCATGAGTCTGTTCACTAAAACTAGGAGTTTCTCCACTGGCCTCTGGGAAGGAATAGTGTTTGAGTTATAGAGATGGGGCTCACGGGTTTAGGGGGACTGCTCCGGTAAATAAGGTTCTGAGAGTTATTATTAGCTTTAGGAGACAAGATGACTGGAAACAGACAAATGAAGTGTGGCCTTCCAAATTATCAAAGAAGAAAAGGCTTGAGCTAGAGTGTATAAAAATCAAATCCTGCTGTGGGATATGTAGGCCGGTCCAGGAGTACTGAGCCCAGGTGGTTGGTTGGTTGAGAGAGAGTCAACACACATGAACATCCATTCATCATCCAACAGTGCTGCCCAGACCTACCAATCCTTCCCAGTTTGCCTCATGGAGCAGTGTGTTCTCTGCACTTAATTTGGAAAAACAGACATCATCGAATTAATCCAAAGAAAGGCAATCCAAATGCCAAAAAGAGGGAGCCTTAGTTAAAACACACACACACACACACACACACACACACACACACACACACACACACACACACAGAGTGTTTATTTTAAAGAGGTCACTCTCCAAGCCAAGGGCCTTGAGGGAAAGTCTCACTGCTTTCTTGAAGGAAAACTAAATGGAAATGAAGTTGAATCTACTTTTGGGGGTTGTTCCTGGGGCTTTTCCTCTGCCATTTGTCTACAAAACGTGCTGTTAAAGCTCAGATAAGTTATGAACCAGAAAAAAAGCCAAAGGATTCAGTCATCATTTGGAAAGCAAGCCCTTGGGTGGGGGCTGCAGTAGTGCTCTTTGTTTTACCAGGAAAAGATTCATTTTGTCCCACATACGGGACTAACTGTTGTTTTTTAAATATTTCAGCTGCTGTGTCATGTCAGGCTGTGTTAGTCACCATGACCTATATCTACTCAGGCCTCCATGAGAAAGAAGCACAGCAAACTGGAGAGGGTGCCCATGGACCCTGGAAACAGGCAACTGAGCTCACCCCTCCAAGTCACCCATGAATGGGACACAGATAAACAAGCAATGACAATAAAAAACAGGGCTAACCAAGAATGCAAACTCGACAGTCTTTAAAAAAACGGAAAATCTTGCTTTCTCGCTCCTGATCTGCAGATAGGATTTTGAAAATGCAGCCACTCCAAACGATGTATGGTCATTCTAAAGCATTTCCAGCCACGCTGTCCTTTGGCTGTAGTGATCTGACTCTGGCAATAGCTTGTGCATTTAACATCTGTTCTGTTCTTTGGTTCTCAGTTATTTTTTTTTTCTCTGCAGTGTATTTCTCACTGTGAAGTTCCTTTACTCCTTTATCCAGGCTAAGTTAACACAAGCATTCTTCATACACACAAAAATGTATGATTTACAAATACTAAGAAATACCTTCACACTGTGTGCCTTTGATTCTTGAGAAGCCTTTACCACATATGGGATCTGTGGGGGAAACAGAACAAGATTAACATCTACCTATGCTTCCCAGTAATGATAAACATAAGAAACATGAGGGAGTGCCTGGGACAGGAGCTGGATTTTGCTGCTATGAATGAGCATGGGATTGCATAGATAAGGAAGAGCAGTAATGGAATAACTCCACTAGCAAAGCCCAGCTTGCGGGAATTGGTGCTTCAGGAAAAACGCTGCAAGCTAACCACGTGACCACATGGGGCCAGAAAATGGCAAACTGACCAGAATCACCTAAAATTGATATCCTTGATACTTCTCTGGTTTCCTTCAGGAATATGTTTTATCAAGGTCATCTTTAAATATCCCATGTGGACCTAAACAAGTGAAGTAACCAATGAGGTGGTGGCTTCTCTTACCAACTTGACATATGGTACATGGGCTCCCCCAGGCAGCACCAAGGGAAGAGCAGCATTCGGACTTCAAGGTGGCTCCATTGATATTGATCTCACACCGCCCATCTATGACAGTCTGCCAGCAAGTGCCCTTGATGGTTTCTGCAGAAAGAGGGTGGTGATGGACGGTGAAGAGAAGCTTATCAAAAATTCGGGGATACACTGGAATTAAGCTTGAACAGCATTATAAAACAAGGAACAATGGTCATTTTTAATGTCTCTCTTCTATCTAAACGTCTGATGCAGTCAAAGCAGCCACTAAGCATAGTAGCACTGAATTAATTATTGATAAACACTGAACAATCATCCTCAAAAGGATAAATACCTATGCAGATGGTTTTGGTTGGATCCAAAGTACTTTCAGGAGAACATTCACAAATAAAAGAGCCAGGGCTGTTCTTGCAGACTCCATTAATGCAAGGGCTTGATTCACATTCATCAATGTCTGAAACGAAAGTCTCCATTACTACTGAAAGCTGCTCTTAGGCATAAAATGCATACCCTGATTTCGGCCTTAATTGTTACCACGTATTCTTCATTAGATAGTAAAGCTGGCCTAGACAGGTTTTTCCAAACTAGAAGGAATGTCAAAATACTAATTGAGCATATTTCTTTAGTATAGAAACTGGCATATGATTAAGTCTTCGTATTCAGAAAAATCTGGAGAAAATTATGGATTCAAATTATACATGCACAACATTTTCTTCATCTATTGAGTGATGGCAAATAAAATGCCAGCTAGAGGCAAATGAAAATGAACGCCCCAAAACCACCATGAAAGGGTGAGCAAGATGCCAAATGCAAGTAAATACCATCTGTGGTTAGAGTTTGCACAGAAAGTCCCAACACAACTGGTCTGATTCTCTGAAATAGAAGAGACTCCACTTTGCTCCTCAGGTTGTCTAAGAGCTTTCCCAGACAGAGTAACGTACACAGTGAGAGAACAAAGGCCCAGTTACCTTCACAGGTCTTTAGGTCGGGTTTGTACACAAATCCCTTGGGGCAGGTACAGACGAAGCTCCCAGGGGTGTTTCTACATTGTCCATTGTCACAGAGTAGACTGTTCAGCACACATTCATTAATATCTGAAAAGACAACAAATGGGAATATTTGCAAAAGGCTCTCCCTCCCAGGCAGCCCCTTTCTCTTTTAGGTTAGGCCTTCAAGTTCCTAATGGTAAATCAAGTCCACCAAAGAGGCAAGACTCTTGTTCCACTGGTTTTCTCCAAATAGGAGCGTCTTCTACTTGTCCAAACTAGGTATCTACAAAGACTCAAGCCGTTGGGTGCTATTTAATTCAATTCTTGGATTCTCTGAAAATTAGTAACCTTTACTTTTGTAGTTGTTTTATAGCATTAGAATTAAAAGGACTAATCTCGCTGGCTCAAGGAACTAAATAAATAGAAAGAAGCCTCAACATGATGGTGCGCGCATGTGTGTGTGTGTGTGTGTGTGTGTGCACGTGCACGCATATTGTCTATTTAAGTACATTCACTGCTGTGGTTGGAGTAATTCCACAAGGCCTTCACATAGCCTCCCAAAGCTGGGGCTACAGGTGTGCATTCCACACAGGAGAGGTTTACAGAAAATAGTCCTAGCAACTAAAGAATGATGAAGAAAAATACAGTGCCCTAGACTGACTGTTTTCCTCCCAACTAAATGATTTACTTAGTTTCTGGATTCTTCCTTCACTAAAGGCTGTTATCACATGGACAGGGTGCTTGCTAAAGTTAGTATACAATCATTATGACTGAAAACAAGCTGGGCTTTCTCTGCTTAAATCAAAGGAGTGGCCGGAGAACTGTTTAGGAGTACTGGGAATGGATCTGGAGCCACGTGAGAAAGGCTCCTGACACTCTGTGCTTCCTACACCTGACAGATTCCTCTTACCAAGTGAATCTGGCATACGATTCTTAACAAGCTGTCAAGAAATGTCACAGAAAGCAAGTTCAACTTACCGACACAGTTTTTCCCAGTTATGTCTACTTCATATCCTGAATCACATACACATTTGTAGGTCCCACGGAGATTTTCACAAATTCCATTTGGGCAAATATCAGGATCTAATGCACATTCATTTATATCTACAGCATCAAAAATATTCAAAGTCAATCACATTCTAAAACCATCATTAAATGAAAACAAAACAGTACAATATGTGCAACGACCTTAGGATTTCTCACTGGGGTTTGAGTTCACTTGGAAGAGAATCTATCTATCT